TTGCTCCTTCCTGTGTTTCCAAAAAGGCCAAAGTAAATAACCCAGTCCTTCTTTTCACTGTAGACAAGCCATGATCTGCTTCTCTGTTCTCCATTTTTCATCTGGATGAAATAATAGCTGCATGAATCATGACAGCAGACAAGACTCTCTACCAAATCTGTGGACATTTACACTGACTTGCTGTGACGTTCTTTGCTGAAAGCGAACAGAATTTCCAGAATTTCCATGCTTTAAAATGGTCCAGTCAAAGCCGGCCCTATCAGGCCCAATCAGAAATCTGTTTCATTATTCGTTCTATCCATCAAATCTGAATTTGTTGGAGTTTTTTTTAGAAAATATGTTTTAAAACTGTCAGTGTCCAGGTGTATACAACTGAAAGGACTGAAACGCATTAAAACATTGCTGCAAAGCTTTGAATACAAATGCTTGCCACACTTTTTGGATTAGCATTTGTGGTGTACTTTTTAAAGGTAGGAATTTCTGCAGGCTTGTGCTCTTAAAACAAATCTCCTGTTTGGTCATATTTCCTTTAGAGGAACTCTGCACACAGCTTTACCGGCTGCATGAAGAACCTTCAGCTGGATGGACGACACCTGTCCTCTGCAGCTGAGACTTTTGGGGTCAGCCCGTGCTTTGAAGGACTAAAGGAAGACGGAACGTACTTTTCAGAGGAGGGAGGATATGTGGTTATGGGTATGTTCTGTTCTTTGTTTGTTCTGCAACAACAGTTTGGCTCTGATTTAGGGATGCAATTCACTAAAGCCTTCTCCATCTACCATGCTACTGGCTAGCATGTATTTTTTATGTCGTGTTACGAACATTTTGCCTAATCCCCTCCACTTTTCATCAAATCCTTGCTTTCAAAGCTTAGCAGGAAAGACCTGCTGCTCCTCCATGCAGCACAGCTTATAGGAGACATTTTGTGGCGTCAGTATTCTGCCAAAAGTCCACACACCAGAGCATTTGAACCGAATGGAGCGCCATGCAATTCCCGCTCAGGAGGATGTTCGCTCAATCGCTCTGCCACTCAAAGTTATGCCAGGACTAGGGTGACCAGACGTCCTTTTTTTCCCGGACAGGTCCTACTTTTCATACCTAATGAAATGTCCGGGGGGAATTTCAAAATCATCCATAATTTTGGTCTACTACAGTGAAGCAGAACCGAGCCATCAGCTTCGGGGCTGATCCGGGAACTTATCCGGACAGGAGGAGGGAGCCTACGGCGGACGGAGAGACCGAACCCGACCCGGTGACAGTAGCTGTGGCCAAAGCCATGCACAGTAAGGCAGGAGGGTTGAAGTTTACCGTCTCAAGGTCGGGTTCGGTCGCTCCGTCCCGGGCTGACTCAGGACCAGCCGGGTCGGTTTCGAATGCCCAATCCCGTCCAGTCAGTTACAAAAAAAAGCTTAGATCAAACAGGCACTTTACAGTTCACCAGCTCATCCAGTCAGATTAAAGTTTTCTATCTAAGGAAAACTACTTGAATGCATCGACTCATTGACTCGAGGGCAATCCCTCACACTAAGCATGCTTGTAGCGACAGTGGAGAGGAAAAACTCGCTTTTCACAGGAAGAAACCTCCAGCAGAACCAGGCTCAGTGGGAGCAATTGCATTGTCTTCTTTTAAGAGCATATTATATAATTATCTTATTTTAAGAGTAAAATCCTCATCCAATTGGCAAACTACCTCATTTACCTACTCAAATTAAGGGTAAATACACTTAATTTAAGAAATGTTTACTTATTTCTAGATCGTTTTTCCAGTGCATGTATGATTGCTACACTGGAAAGCGATCTAGAAATAAGTAAGAAATGTCTTAAATTAAGGGTATTTACCGTTAATTTAAGTACAGTAGGTAAATGTGGTAGATTGCCTTATTTACCATTTTTACTCCTAAAATAAGATATTTCTATACAA